ACATATAAGTAATGTTTGATGCACTTCCTTGACAATAATTGTATATATGATCAGTGTCTTAATAGAGCTTTAATACAACGGCTAATAGAGATGATTAGTTACTAAATGACACATCATTATTTCAGCAACATCAATTGAACCAAGTAATGGCATGCCATCCCCTAAAGTAAACACAAATGCACAGTGAAAGACAATTCATAATTTCACAACACAAGTTTCTAATTATTCACAAAATGAAGTCACAATGAAACTATGATATTTTGCTACCTGTATGAGATGAAATCTGGAGGGGAAAAATTGAGAGGCATTTTCTTCTGAGTCTTTTGAGTCTTTTGTATATGCAACACTGGTCCTCTGTTGATTGAAAAAATAAAGTATAGAAACCAAGAAAAAGCGAATTACGCTGTACGTGCTGTAAGAAGGTTAGGGCCCAGCAGAATCAAAGTTGCCAGCGGTCGGCTGCACCGCCGGAGCACCAACGCGAACATGAACCTTCACTGGCTGCACCAGGACCAGGCTATCAGCGTAGTCTAGGTCCATGTACTGGTCCACATCCGCAAAGAAATAATCCGCCGACTTCAAATCGACCTCCTCCTCCTCCTCCAACATGTCATCCTCCTTCATTCTGAACAGCGGCCGACCCGCCCATTGTAAATTCTCACGTCGACGGGCGATCCGGAGACTTGAAGAAGCCGTTGACGGAGACGCACGCTGCCGACACAGGAGGCTTGGCGGAGTGGACGTGCGGCGTCACAGGAGCGCAGAGGAGCACCGTCAACTTGCAGCGTCAGAGCGATTGCCCTACTCGGCAGCTTCGCAAAGCAACGCGTCTTGCGGGAGGCCGAGCTTGTTGCGATTGGCCCGCAGGATCACAGCCCACCGCAAAGGACAGTGATTTTTGGCTTCGTCAGAAGAGCGACGAGGGGGAACTTTGCAAAGTGCCTATTTCTGCGTCGAAGTCTAGGCCCAAGGTAGCCCTTCATCTCTCCTCCACCTGTCCTACTCGCCTCAAATTGTCTTACGCCCCCCACCCCCCCCCCCCCCCTCCCGCCTCCGCCCCCCCCCCCCCCGTCTGGCTCCCCCCCCCCCCAACCCTTGCGTCTTTAACACTGAAGGGGTGGAAGCCAAGGGACCGCCGTGTCAAAGCCGCAGGCTAAGCGGAGCAACATCACAACCTAACTCCAGGAGATAGCTCCGCTTGTATATGAAAATACAGAAACAGCTAATATAATATAAATGCTTTTACACAATCGATTTATGGGTTTTAGTACTTAGGATACAAACACCAGCATCAGTACGCCGGATGGAAAATAATGCCAAACAAATGAAACCCTTCATGGTATATTACCTCTTATCTCAAATTGTAGATCCCCTTAAATTTATGTTCGACGCAAGCAACACAGGTTGGTGCGCAGGATCATTGTCGTGTACGTACAAAAGTTTTTATATGACAATAAATAAAATTATTGGAAAAAGAATACATACTGTAAATATCTACGCAAAAAAACAAATTATGAATTCGGCAAATCATGTAATATACTCTCATATCATGATAAGTTTGGATTTCTTTTCATCGATGTGCCAAAACCCTAAGTCCCACCTTCATAGATGGAAATTTCCGTCTAGTAAGTAACCTAGATGAACATTTTCATCTAGGTAGATGGGACCCATGTTTTTGAAGAAAATAGTTACAAAATTGCCATCTAGAATACCTTATGTAGACGGTTTTCCGTCTAGGATGATTCATCCTAAACAGAATAGCATAGACGGATGTTTTCTGTCGATATTGTCATCATCCTAGAAGGAAATGTTTCCATCTAGAGTAATCCGTCTAGGATGCTACGTTTTTTTACTAATGTGTATCATATTCTAAGATCAATATATACAATTATTCTCTCCTAATTATCATGATATTAGAGCCTAATTAAAACCATAACCCTAAGTCAGCCACCGTCGTTGCTAGATTTGACCAGGTCAGATTTGCTCCCGCTGTTATTTGTAGGCGTCTAAAATTGCCTACGGGCCCTCACACGCAGCTCGAGACACAGAGAAGATGATGAACGCCACTATCTAAGTCACAGAAGCTTAATCGACATTGACAAGCGCATGAAGTGAGTCAACGAACCATGCGAAGCAATGAAACTTCGGAATAACGGAAACACGAACTGATCGGGAGTACCGCGTCACTTACGAAAGACGAAATACCCCCGTGTCCTGTCCACTCCACAGATGATTCAATCATAGGATCTTGTAGATCTTCTCGATGTCTTTCCAATGCATCTTGAATCGCATGATTCCGAGTTCGGACGACGAAGATACGGCTGAAACAGACAAGACGCGCAGAACTACGTTCTGAGTCTCGGCGAGACACCCACAGGTGTCTCGGCCAGGCTAAGACACCCAAGGGTGTCTCGGATTTGCTTGGCCGAGACACCCACGAGTGTCTCGGCCAGGCCGAGACACCCACGGGTGTCCGCAGACCCGAAAATACGATTTTGGTAGTTTAAAACCGTTTTTCGACCGTTAACTGCCTGTATTTGCTCCAACTGATAAAATATCATTCATGAATGTGATTAAGTGGTTACAACTAAGGATAAGAGGGAATCAGCCGTTCTTATCCGAAAATAGGGGTCCCGAAGCCTATAAATACAGCCCTAGGACCTTCATTTTTTCAAATCTATAATTCTCGAGAGTTGGCGAAGCCCTGCCGATCTGAGGGCTGAAGAGCCACAAATTTCAGAGAGGAGGAGGAGATATCAGTGAATTCTTTGGCATAAAGAAAATGTGTTCGTCAGATCTGCAGCCCGGTTCCTTCCCTTGAGATTGCCCCGTTGCGGTGATCTCGAGAAGAGTGATTATCTCGCTGTTACCGAGATAATTGCTTCGGTTTCTTGATTCCTTCGTGAATCAACGAAGCTCCGGATCTGATCTGATCGTTTGGTGGTCCACGGATATCAACGTCTCCATCACAGGTAAAGATCTCACGCAAGCAGCGGGTGATAACACCCGTTGTGTTTGTTTGAAGGAGATTATAATTTTAATTTTATTGTGTAAAGGTTTTATAAAAAGACCGATCTTTTTTTGAACTTGTTGTAACGACTAAAGTTATAATAAATTATACAATGAAGAAATCGATTTCCCACCCAAACATTATTGTCGTCAATTTGTGTTCACCACCAAACCTCATGATCATATTTTCTCTCATGTTCCTCACTCTCCTCCTTGTCAACTAGATCTCAGCCAAACCTAGTGTTAGGTTATGTGGAGTCTAACTATCCGACTTGCCCTATTTGCTTAATTGAAGAGGAGCAGTAACATTGTAGGAAAAAATGATAAAGAACAGGTTTTGGACGAAGAAAACACTTTGGAGGCTTTACGATCGATCACGAGACAAGCTGTAGTCGACCGCGAATGTGCACAAGACAGGTTGATCTTTGGATTTTTTTTGACGGTCGACCGCGACAACATGTCCGGTCGACCGCGGACCATGTAATCGATTTATGTGGTTTCTGTTGTTATGTGCAGTCAACCGCGGCGTTAAGTGCGGTCGACCGCAAGTCGAGTTTTGTGCTTGGGCTCATTTTTTCTGAATTGTTTTGAGACTCGTGTTTGTATTAACCCTTATGTTATTAAAAGGGTGATTAGGGCAACTTGTAAACTGACGAAAATAGTGAAATTTTCTCATGTGGCAGTCGTGGACGTAGTTTCTCTCATCGAGAAGTGAACCACGTAAATTCTGTGTGTTCTATGATTTGTTTTTTCCTCTCTTCACTCTCTCATATCTATTCCCAAATTACAACAGGGGCTTAAAAACCCCTAACAAGTGGTATCAGAGCTGCCAGGTTCGGCGCAGACCATTTGAGGTCAGAGATATGGAATCTGAGAAGGAGACGTCCAAGATCGAGAAGTTTGATGGGACGAACTTCGGGTTCTCGAAGATATAGATGGAAGACTACCTCTATCAAAAGGATCTATATTTGTCGTTGGGAGAGAAGCCGGCGGATATGAAGGATGCAGAGTGGAAGCTATTAGATCGGAATGCCCTTGGAGCAATTAGGTTGACCCTGTCCAAATCTGTAGCTTTCAACATCAAGAATCAGAATTCGACGGCGGATCTCATGGCTGTGTTATCTAGTATGTATGAACAACCCTCTGTGGCGAATAAGGTACATCTCATAAAGAAGCTGTTTAATTTGAGGATGTCTGAGAACCAAAAATTTAAGGAATGCCTGAATGAGTTTAATAAGATCACAGATCAACTAAACTCCGTTAATATTAAATTTGATGATAAAATTTAAGCCATGTTAATACTTGGTCAGTTGCATGATAGTTGAAAGGACATCATTATTTCGATTAGCGGATCATGTGGAAAATCAAAACTGAAGTTTTCAGACGTTGCAGACATGGTTATGACTGAGGAGATCAGAAGGCAAGAAGGAGTTTCTAATTCAGGGTCGGGCATTGAATGTTGAGAGCAGAGGTAGAAACAGAAACAGAAATAAAGGGAATAATCGTGGAAGACCTAATTCGAGGAACGACAAGTCAAGGTCCAGAAATCACAAAAGTAAGAAAGAGATTGACTACTGGAACTATGGCAAGTTTGAGCATTATGAGAATCAGTGCAGAGAACCCAAGAAAGATAAAGAGAGCAAGACTGAAGCGAACGTCGCCTCGGGAGATGCCCTTATTTGCTCATTGGAGAGCAAGACATAATCGTGGGTGCTGGATTCAGGAGCTTCATTTCATGCTACCTCAAATAGAGATTTATTTGAGAACTATGTTTTAGGAAACTTAGAAAAAGTCTACCTTGGTGATGATCAACCGTGTGATGTAGTTGGAAAAGGAAAAGTGCAGATTAAACTCAATGGGTCTATATGGAAGCTGAATGGTGTAAGACATGTTCATAGCTTGAGGAAGAATCTGATCTCCATAGGACAGTTGGCAAAAGAGGGATATATATCAATCTTCGCATGTGATATGTGGAAGTCACCAAGGGATCTATGATTGTAGCCCATGGTACGAAGAGTGGATCTATCTATGTAACGACAGATGCACGTGGATCCATTGCAGTGGTTGAGAGCAAGGAAGATCCAAATTTGTGGCACCAAAGACTTGGTCACAGGAGTAGCAAAGGCCTGAAGATTATGCAATCGAATAGAAAGTTACCAGGTTTGAGGTCAGCTGATTTTGATTTATATGAAAGTTGCATCTTTGGGAAACAGAAGAGAATAAGCTTCAAAAGAGTTGGCAGAACTCCGAAGGAAGAGAAGCTTGAGCTAGTTCATACAGATGTGTGGGGTCCAGCATCAGTCTAGTCTACTGGTGGAAGGTTATATTTTGTGACATTCATAGACGATCACTCGAGAAAAACTTGGGTCTATTTCATAAAACACAAATCAGAAGTGTTCGAAGTCTTCAAAAGGTGGAAGGCTATGGTAGAAAATGAAACAGGTTTGAAGATCAAGAAGCTTCGATCAGATAATGGCAGTGAATATGAAGATTCAGAGTTCAAGAAGTTTTGCTATGATAGTGACATCAAATTGGAGAGAACAGTGTCAGGTACACCTCAGCAGAACGACATAGCAGAACGAATAAATAGAACATTGATTGAAAGAGCCAGAAGCATGCGACTACAAGCAGGACTCCCAAAGCAATTCTGGACAGAAGCAGTCAACACAGCTGCCTACCTGATCAACAAGGGATCATCAGTGCCTTTGGAGCACAAAATATTTGAAGAAGTATGGAGTGGAAAGAATGTAAACATTTCTCACCTAAGAGTTTTTGGCTGCGTTTCATATGTTCATTTGAGTGATCATGTTAGAAACAAACTTGACTCTAAGTCTTTGAAGTGTTATTTCATTAGCTATGGTTGTGATGAGTTTGGCTATAAGTTCTTGGATGAGCAGAATAAGAAAGTTATCAGAAGCAGGGATGTTGTCTTCAATGAAGACATCCTCTACAAAGATCGTGATGCTGTTCAATCCACTAATTCGGTGCAGCATGGGTCTACATACTTCGAGCCAGATGATGTTCTAGATGGAAGCAGCCCTGAAGCCAGTTCTGATGAGGAAGCAGCAAAAGAGGCTGGAGAAGAGATGATGGAGGAGATTACTTCAGAGAGGACAAATGAAGATGCAGATCCTAATTCACCCGTTAGAGAGTTGAGGCGGTCAGCAAGTGAGATCATTACAGCCCAGAGCTCATTTGAACTACTTATTATTAAGTGATGGTGGAGAGCCAAAAAGCTATGATGATGCATGTCGAGTAGATGATGCAAGCAAGTGAGAGCTTGCTATGAAAGGTGAAATAAAGTCATTGAACTCTAACAAGACTTGGGAACTTACGAAGTTGTTAGTGGGAAAGAAAGCCTTGAGTAACAAATGGGTATAAAGAATCAAGGAGGAACATGATGGTTCAAAGAGATACAAGGCAAGATTGATGATTAAAGGATTTCAGCAGAAAGAATGAGTTGACTATACAAAAATCTTCTCTCATGTAGTCAAATTGACTACTATCAGATCGATTCTGAGTATTATTACAGCTGAAGATCTACATCTCGAGCAATTAGATGTGAAGACAGCTTTCCTCCACGGTGACCTAGAGGAAGAAATATACATGCAACAGCTATAAGGGTTCACTCAGAAAGGTAAAGAAAAGATGGTATGTAGATTGAAAAAGAGCTTGTATGGTCTGAAACAAGCTCCAAGGCAATGGTACAAAAAGTTCGATGGATTCATACACAGGAACGGATACTCCAGGTGCAATGCTGATCATTATTGTTTCTTCAAAAAGTTTGACACTAGTTACATTATTTTGTTACTATACGTTGACGACATGCTAGTAGCCGGTTCAGACATGGGTGAGATCAAGAACCTGAAGAAGCAGTTGTCAAGTGAGTTTGACATGAAGGACTTAGGCACAGCGAAGCAGATATTGGGGATGAAGATTAGCAGAGATAAGTTTTTGGGCACATTACGGTTATCTCAGGCCGATTACATTAGACGGATGCTTGAGAGGTTTGGAATGAGTGGTGCTAAGGCTGTTAGCACACCTTTAGCTAATCATTTCATGTTGACCAAAGAGCAGTGTCCAGTGACTGATGAGGAAAAAAATACATGATGAAGTTTCCTTATGCTTCAACCATTGGAAGCCTTATGTATGCTATGGTGTGCACGAGACCTGACATTACCCATGCAGTGGGAGCTGTGAGTAGATTCATGTCAGATCCAGGAGAGCATCATTAGGAAGCAGTAAAGTGGATTCTAAGGCATCTGCGAGGTACAATAGAAAATTGTCTATGCTTCAAGAGAGGCAAATTGGTTCTGTAGGGATTTGTTGATGCAGACTATGCTGGTGAGATAGATCAGAGGAGGAGCACTACGAGGTATGTGTTCACATTGGGTACTACTACCATCAATTGGGTCTCTCAGTTGCAGAAGATCGTTGCTATGTCGACTACAGAGACATAATATGTTGTTGTGATAGAGGCTAGCAAAGAGATGATATGGTTGCAGGGATTCTTGAAGGAGTTGGGACTGAAAAGTGAGAAGAGTGTTTTACGTGTCTTACACTGTGACAGCCAGAGCGCCATCCATTTGGCCTTTCATGCAGGACCAAATATATACAGGTTCGTTATCACTTTATAAGGTCAACATTGGATGATGACATGTTGGAATTTGTGAAGATTCAAGGAAGAAAGAACCTGGCTGATATGCTTACGAAGGGTGTCACTACGAAGAAACTGAAGTTGTGTTCAACTTCAATTGACCTCATTACTTGATGATATGGGAGGCCGTCGCCACAAGGAAAGGTGGTGAAGATTGAAAGTTAGTCTCCAAGTGGAAGATTGTTAGGCTATGTGGAGTCTAACTATCCGACTTTCCCTATTTGCTTAATTGAAGAGGAACAGTAACATTGCAGGAAAAAATGATGAAGTACAGGTTCTGGACAAAGGAAACACTTTGGAGGCTTTACGGTCGATCGCGAGACAAGCTGCGGTCAACCGCGAACGTGCACAAGATAGGGTGGTCTCTGGATTTTTTGACGGTCGACCGCGGCAACATGTCCGGTCAATCGCGGACCCTGTAATCGATTTACGTGGTTTCTATCGTTTTGTCTGGTCGATCGCGACGTCAAGTGCGGTCGACTGCGAGTCGAGTTTTGGGCCTGGGCTCGTTTTTTCTGAACTGTTTGAGATTCCTATTTGTATTAACCCTTATGTTATTAAAAGGGTGATTGGGGCAACTTGTAAACTGACGAAAATAGTGAAATTTTCTCCTGCGGCAGCCATGGACGTAGCTTCTCTCATCGAGAAGTGAACTACGTAAATTCTGTGTGTTCTGTGATTTGTTTTTTCCTCTCTTCCCTCTCTCATATTTATTTACAAATCGCAACAAGGGCTTGAAAAACCCAAACGCCTAGCCCCTAACCTTGCTACTTCGTGGTACTATTTATTCAAGTATCATTGTTCATTGTCGGTTACTGTTCATGGACGATATTGTTTATCCGTAGGCTGTTCATTACTGTTGTAGGCTGTCTAAAAATCACAACAGATAGCTGATCCCCATCAAACACCGATGACGGAAGTTACAATCTGACGACTTCCATAAGGCTATAATTTGAGGACTTTCACGTAGATCGCTGAAGGTTACAATCTGACGACTGTAGGCGTCAAAAAATGCTGAAAGATATCCAAATACAGCTCAAGAGGAAATCATCCAAAAAGGCAGAAGAACATAAGTCTTTACTGTCTCGCACGCGAGACAGACTTGACTGTCTCGCCGTGCGAGACAGTCTGTCTTTACTGTCTCGCGGGCGAGACAGACTTTTACTGTCTCGCCCACGCGAGACAGTCTTTGCTGTCTCGCCCACGTGAGACAGTCTTTGCTGTCTCGCCCACACGAGACAGTCTTTGCTGTCTCGCCGTACGAGACAGAATTTACTGTCTCGCACGTAAGACAGCTTTCAGATGGTCAAAACTACCTTTGCAACTGCCCTACACGTGGCCACTAACTGTTCAAGAACGTGGGAAACGTCGTGGGCGAGAATCACGTGGATAACTGCCAAAATAACGGAGTTTGAAACGTGGGAAGGCAGTTAAAACGAAAACTGCCTGCGGTTACTATTTCCGAGACAGTATTTACTATCTCGCGGGTCGAGACAGCAAACACTGTCTCGCCCAGCGAGACAGCAAACACTGTCTCGCGAACCTGTTTTCTACCAACTGTTCTTGGAGGTTATAAATACCCTCCTAAGGCCATTTTTCGGAGAGGCGGATTATTTTTGAGCACCTCAAAGCAATCCAGAGCAGAGAGAGGGCAGAGGTCTTAAACTTTCGGCCACTCCTTGATAATCAGGCTTTGACTTGATTTCAAGAAGAACGACTATCTTACTTCGATAAGATATCGTTTCAATTTCTCACTTCGATAAACGAAGTCAGAATCATAAACCCCTCACGGTTCAATCAGAATCTGTGACTTGGTGGTCCACGAGTCAAAGCGCTCCCGGCACAGGCAAAGATCCCACGCAAGCAGCGATCCAAACAACGGTCCTGCGTTTGTTTCTCAAGAGTTGTAATTTTCCTTTTGTTGTGTAAAAGAAGTCTTATAAAAAGACTATTTCTTTTGAATTTATTGTAATCGACCGAAGATATAATGAATTCCACAACGAAACCAACTTTTGACGCAAACAAGCTGGTGACCACAGTGGGAGCCAACGGTCTCGCTGCCGAGACCGTCGTGTCGCAGCCGATCAAGATTCCAGTTGAATCTATGGTCGAATACGAATTCGACCAGATCAAGTTTGAGGAATATCTCTCATCATCCTCTTCAAGATCTTCATTATCTCGCAAGTACAAGAGGATCTCACAATTGAGGAAGAGTTGCATGCCAAAGAAGGCACAAAATGAAGACTCTCGCTTGATTGTTGCTGAGAATTTCACTCGCAATACTTCTGCTCACAATGGCTCTTATCTAGTTAAAGAGTCATCGAATCAAAGCCCGCCGGCATTAACGAAAAGAGCTCGTCGGAGACAACGTCAACGCCGTGCTCGCCAAATGGCTAAAGCCTTGGAACAAACCGACGGGGTTCGTTACCACGCGGACCTAGAGTCGAGGAGACATCGAGTGGTTCAGTTGTCTCAACAACCAATCACTCGTATCTCTGCTAAAACAACGACGGATGAATGGACTATTGTCAAAAAGACTCGTTCGACCCTCAAAGAACGTATACAAAAACGTCGTGCAAAAGCTGCTAATGCCCATGCTCTCTCACAACAAAGACGAGAAAAGAGAAAGGAAATGGTGACCAAAGAATC